CCCCCCCCCCCCCCCCCCCCAAAACCCCAAGAACGAGAATCAGAAACACTGGTCTATACCAGGGGTCAGCTTCTAGAATCAACCAAAACGGTCATCTGCCTACTGAGTACTAAGTACTGTGTGACTGTGTAGAGTACCCTCCGGTAGATTCCGGCGGCAAATCCCGGGTGATCGATGTGGTTTACCATTGGATTACCATTGGACCTGCACTTTTCGATCGACGGCGGAGTCGACCCAAGTTAAAGTACATTCCAGCCAGTCCGCCTAAGCTTGTCGTCCCAAAAGGCCCCAAAATTCTACCTCCACCTGGGCGGGGAATTTTTAGGTCCGTGATGAATCCTCTTCCCATGCGTCCGCGTCCTATCAATTTCATTCATTTAATGAGGTCACTCCGGGGTCACTTTCCGCACTTTCCCCCCCTCCCGTGGCTCACTGGCTTTCCCTTCAACTTCCAGGGAACCTTCACTCAACGGCTTTGTGATCCTTCTAGACGTGTTGTCAGCCTCGACTATTTTCTAATTTTCGATGGAGACTATACCCATTTCTTTTCATGATCTAACCTCTATATGGTGATCAACCCTTAATTTTACCTCATCGGAACGGGGGACCGTTATACTACTGAGTCTAACCCACTGCTCAATCTTCCTTCTTCCCCCCCCTCTCTCCCTCCCCACCTCTCCGGTCACTCTGCTGCCACTGCCAGGTGCAAGAACAATATTATTAAACTAACGGGCCAACGAGGTCAACCTAGTGTCCAAAACCCGCTGCCCACTAATACTATTTGCATATAGCCTAAGAGCCTACCCTTACCGACTAAACCGTGATTCGTGTTGTGCCTTTCTCCGGATCTTCTTCATTAGCTACGTACTACTACTACTACTACTACTACTCATCTCATCTCATCTCATCTCGCATCCGCTCCATCCCGCCCCGTGCCCGACAGCGCCGCTGCAGCATCCGGCCAAGCCACATTTTGCTGGGTCCGTAGTATGCGAGCGCCGCCTGGTCACTGTCGGGAGAAAAGCGACCAGCGTGCAGTTTTCCAGGGTCCACGCCCACAAAGCATGGAAAAGCTCAACCAGCTCGATTTGCATTCATGGACCAACGAACCCGCCTGCGGAAGGCATGCGATGCCTGCAGCATTCGGAAAGTAAAGGTACATACATACAACTACTGGTTCGATGTTTGTTTGATTTTGTATTTGTCAAGCGACCGAGTATGCTGATTCGCGTTGGAATTGACCACAGTGTGACACCAGCGGACCACCCTGTCGGTCATGCGCAAGCTTGGACATCCCCTGCACGTATGAGCGGCCAAGCCGTCGTCGGGGACCACCAAACCGGCATGCTGAAGCTTTCAAGAAGCGAAAACTCGCTGAATCTCCCTCGGGTTCTCCAAGCCCATCGGATGCAACCTCGCCTATTCCCCCAACCCCTGGGGGAGGCGGGATCCCACCCTCACTTCCCTATCCCGCATCACTGGAAGCCATTTGTTCGATGCCCACCATCTGGCTGCTGATTGATGACTATTTCACCTATATTCATCCCTTAGTTCCGATCCCTCATGAGCCCACGTTCCGCGCCGCGCTGGAGCGGCGAGAGGATCTTACCAATCGCACCTTTCTAGCCCTCGCGGCCGCCATGATCGGGACGTCGGTCGCGTCTTTCCCTCGGAGGCCCAAGCGTCATCTGACGACAGATGCCGAGAAGGCGGCGTTCCCGCACTCTATGGCACTGGTCAAACGGTGCCACGAGGTAGCCGTTCAGGCTCGAGGTACCGGATACCTCGATCGGACCGCGACCGTGTATGATGCCGCCCTCAGCTACCTTCTCGGCCTCTGCTCCTGCTACGCTTGGCATATTCGACGATGCCGTGTATATTTTGCCGAATGCCTCACCATGCTCCATGTGTATGACCTTTACCGCCACTCGAATCGGCTGTCCTATGTCACCATCCCCAGTCCCCAGTCTGCCTCGTCGCGTCTCTCTCAGGAACCCAACGGTAGCTCCGGAGAAGCCCAAGTCAACATTATCGAGCGGGAACTGGGACGGCGCTTGTTTTACGTCGTCCTTGTCGGTTATCGCACGATGCAGCAGTTGGGCGGAGGCGACACCATCATTCATGTCCCCCCTGAAACCCCGACAGAACGCTATCCTCCTCTCCCACTTGAAGTCGACGACGAGTTTATATATGCCACACACTTCGATCCTCAGCCGTCCAACCGCGTGTCGCGCCTGGTGGGGTTTATTGCCAACATCCGCGTGATGAGCTCCTACAATCAGCTCTCGGCTTGGGAGACGGCCTTTGGAAGCGGCCAAATTCTGGAATGGGAGCGGCAACGCTCCCTTCTATGCCAGTGCCTGCAGAATGCCAAGATGGCTCTCAATGAGCTTCCACGAGAGCTGGTGATCGAGGGAATCCATAGCCCAGCATCGACCCATGGACAAGATAGCCCCAGCTCACTGTCCAGCACGGACGACCAGCGATCTTATGAACGTCACATACAGTATGAGATCCAGAAGGCGAACATATATGCCAGTCAGCTTGCTGTACGGTCTTATCTGGTGGAGAAATACTGGTCCCTGTACGGCGCTGTGAAAATGCACCAAAAGCCGACCGAGCAGCATCCCTCTGGCAGTCCTTCGGTGGCTGTCAAGACTGAAGGGGGCCAACCGCATACCCAGGCGGCCATGGATGCGGATGCCCAGTCCGACTACATCGGAAGGACCATGGCTGAAGAGCGACGACTCGTGATTCGGGACTTGTTCGCATTACTGCAATCGGTCAACGAGGTCAATATGGAGCCTAACGGCGCGAGCTTTGTAAGTGTTCCCCCTCTTTCTTTCCTTTCCGTCACAGCTCAAACGAATACTCATCAGCTATTGGAAACAGACAGCGAAAGTGCGACAGGTTGCGTCTACCCTCCTGAATTTTTCTAATCCGAATGCCACCTCCACGATAAGCGGACCACAACCCCTCACCAGCGCCGAAGTCGAGTCATACCTCCGCGCCTTTATTGACACACTCATGCGCCTTGAAGGCTTTGGGTCGACCGTTTCGAGCAAGGGTCGACAGCAACCAGACGTGTCCGGACGGTCCATGAGTTATCTGAGCGACCACGACCGGGACGAGGAGGAGCTGCGGCAGTGGGCCGGCATCAAGGAATATCAGGCCAAATTCGCCGAAGAAGGGGGGATGGCTTTTCAGCTATAGAGTTTTCTTGCTTCCGGGTGCATACAACGCATCTGCTGTTGTTTGTCCTTGACGAACACTGTCTGGTGATTGATTGAGATTGTTTTTTTTTTTGCTTTTAGCATGTTGTGTCCAGCGGAGTTCGGTGGAGTTTTGCTTGAACTGACTTCTCAGGGGTTGATCGGGTTGTCTGTCTGTCTGTCTGTCTGAATTAGCGGCCTGCTTGTTGACATGTTTACTTGTGCATATGCATGGGGTGTTTGTAATAGTATGGACCAATTATTGGGTGGTGTGGCTGTGTGCTTACTTTCTTTGTTGTTAGCTGGGTTTGGGACAGTTGTGTTTTTACGTTTGGATGCATATACAAATACAGATATACCATGGCTCATACTCTATAACTCACGAGAAAGTATCGACCGTCAGAATTGCCCGTATATCCTCATGACTTCGCCAAGTAAAACTGCACTAAGGGACGTATTCAGGGCCTCAGGCGCAGGAAAATTACCCGAGCGCTGGCTAACCTAGCCTAGCTTATCGATAAGCAAAAGGCGGTCAACGGCCGCCTATAAGAACGAAAAATTCTCCCCCCTCCAGCTTTTTTCTTTTCTTCTTCATACATATACTGATCACTCCTCCCTATTCACTTCGAGAATCCTTTCCTCCGTGGGTTCTTGAAGGGGAAATGGGAGGTCAGAGCAACCTCTGCTGACTTACCCCGGACTCTTCTCTCTACCTTTGGCGTGGAGCGTTTGGAAATTACTACAGCGGGACATCACCTCACCTTTATCCATTGCCTTTTGCCTGTGGCTTGGGCTTGCTTGACACGGAAGGAAGCAGGACCTAAACCTGGTACATAATTATCTATTGGTAGTCTTTTAAGAACCACGTCCACGCACTCGGCCAGCCGACGAATCGTCGCCGTAGGCTTGACCTCAGGCAGTGCTTGGTCGGACCAGCCCGCCTGGTTCTGGTCGCGATCGACCCAGTTCGTGCTCAGGCCTGCACTCTTCGCGCCGGCGATGTCGAATGGATTCGCACTGATGAGCCAGATCATCGCCGTGCTGCTGCTGCTGCCGCCGCCCTTGCTGGCTACTTGCTCCCGCAGGTGACTGTAGGCCGCCGGGGCGGGCTTATATTGTTGTAGTTGCAGATGCTGCAGCTGCGGCGGTGCATGGCTGAGACAGGCGCGGACCATGTCCACGGTGCCGTGGGAGAACACCACCGGCTTGATCCGCGCGATGGCGGTTATCTTCCGGAGGGCTTCTTCGACATCCGGAAAGGCTTGGAGGCGATTGTAGGCTGCGAGAACCCCGTCGAGGGCTCGAAGGGGAGATAGCGTCCTGTAGTAGTGGGTTCGTCAGATCGGTTTGCTTCGGGCAGTATTTCCTCGTCTGCATGGGCATTGGGGGGGCAGGGATCAATGATGAATGGAGGTCTCGTACCCATGCTGTTCAGCCGCCAGGTGTACTCCAGCCGGTAGCGTCGCCATGTCTGGGCCACGGTGCGCGCGCGCGCTGGGCGTCTCCCCGGAAGTGCTGCTCCAGCTCCTGCGTGGCCGTTTCAAGGGAGAGTAAGGTCCCGTAGATGTCGGAGGCAATGACCACTTCTGCCATGGTGTGGGTTGCTTGCTGATGAGGATTGCAATAAGGGAGGAGGAATCCAATCCTACCCAAAGTTCAGGAATGTTGGAGCAGAGTCAGTAGTCGAAGTATGAGAATAAGCAGCCTCTCGCCGCGGATACCAAACCCCACAATTTTGATGATGTCAAACCATCTCCATTGCATTTCCGCCGCCACCTCTTCTTTTTTTTGTTCTGTACAGTACAACGTTGTCTACTACTTCTCATTTCCAGCATCGATGACCTCCTCCTCCCTCAACACCGAAAACTACCCGGTCTTCCGCGAGTGCCTGTCCACGGCTATCGTGGAGAAATTCTCCACCCCCGCGCAGCCCAAGAAAGCTCGTCGCACACGCGGCGCCGTGTCGCAGCGCCAGAAGACGCGCAAGGAGACTTTGGGGACTTCCACTGCTGCAGCAGAAGCTGCTGCTGACGCCTCGCAATCTCTTCCTGACCGTGCGAGTCCGGAGGAATTAGCTGAGTTTATTGATGTGCGTGATTTTTCCCGCTGTTTGCTTTCAAGTAGCACCACGCTGTGTTGCATACCCAGCCAGACTCAACACCCCGCGGGCACTCTATGCATGCCTCCAAAAGTATGGCAAATGCCCACCCACGCCCACGCGCACGCCCTCCTCGCCTCCACATCCATGAAACAAGAATACCAATGACCCATAAGAAGAAGCCCGCGAAGCATCACAATTCACAATTGAATTGGAACTAAGAGAAGAGAAACAGTTCCTCGCAACCGAAACCTTCCCCGCCCTGCCCCCCTCCATCCAAACCCTAACCTACACTCCTCCACCAACATCATCAACAACATCAACATCAACAACAACAACAACCACCACCCCCTCCCCCTCGGAAACCGACCCCCAAACCCTCGCCTCAACCCTCTGCACCACCACCCTCCCCTCCACCGTCCACGACACCCTAACCACCTACGCCATCCTCGCCGACCAACCAGAAGAAAATGAAGAAGCCCTAACCACCTTCTTCACCCCGATCCTCGCCGAATACCTCGCCGCCGTGACGCGCCCGCCCCCCGTCTGGGCGACGACCCGCACCGACAGCTGCGAGATCTGCGGCCGCGACTGGATCCCGCTCAGCTACCACCATCTCATCCCACGCAGCGTGCACGCCAAGGTGACCAAGAAGGGGTGGCACCCGGAGTGGATGCTCAATAGTGTCGCGTGGCTGTGTCGCGCGTGCCACAGCTTTGTGCATCGGATGGCGAGCAACGAGGAGCTGGCGAGGGAGTGGTTCACTGTGGAGCGGATCTGTGAGCGTGAGGATGTGAGGGTTTGGGCGGGCTGGGTGGGGAGGGTGCGGTGGAAGAGTCGATAGTTTTTTCTGGGGGGAGGTATGTATATATGGGGATTGGGAATGAGGGTTGGTGCTGAAGATGAGAGCCTAATACCCAATACCTAGGTCACGCACTATATACAGTACACATGTGGACAACCTCGGACTTGATCGTGAGGTGAGTTGAGGTATGCAAAAGTTGTGTTGTCTATGTGGTATCCGGATATTTAGACTAATATACAAGAATCAACCGGGCCCCCCTTGTTCTCGCATTAGACATGCTTTGCGGTAAACAAACCCCCAAATACAATCGAATCCGTGATAGTACAGAATAGGCAGATCGTAAAATACAGCCCCCCCCCCCCCCCCCCCAACCCGAGCACTACAGATAGCGCTTCTCGAAGATCTCCTCGTAGCACTGCACATGGTCCCCGACCTGGAAGTCGAACCAGCCCTCGAAGGCCATGCCGCACTCCGTGTCCTTGCGCATCTCGGTGACGTCCTTCTTGACGTTCTTGAGCGAGCCGATCGTGCCCGTGTAGATCGTCTCCTGGCCGCGCAGCACGCGCACCTTCTTGGTGCGGTTGATGAGCCCGTTGCGCACGCGGCAGCCGGCGATCTGCATGCGCTCGCGCCCCTTGAGCTTGATCTCGAAGATCTCGCCGATCTCGGCCTCGCCCGTGACGCGCAGGGTGACCAACGGCGGCAGGTGCTCGCTCAGCGTCGCCTTGACGTCGTCGATGAGCCGGTAGATGACGTTGTGGTCCTTGATGGCCACCCCGCGCGACTCGGCCATCTGCTTGATCCGCGGGTCGATGGGCATGTTGAACGAGACAACGTGCCCGCCCGCCGACGCCGCGTGCTCGATGTCGAACTCGCTCACGGGGCCTACCTCCGCCCGCAGCACGTTCGCGTACACCTCGTTGTTGCCCACCGCCGTCACCGAGTTCAGCACCGCCTCCGCCGACCCGTGCACGTCCGCCTTGATGATAAAGTGAATCGGCTTGGGGCCCGATTGGGCCTCCTTTTGGTCCAGTCCGGCTTCCTCGAGGCGTCGCCGCTCCATCAGCTCGCGGCGGGCCTCGTTCATCGCCGTCGTGTCCTCCCCCAGCTTCGAGGATTCGGACCGCTCGATTCGGTATTCGACGACGGATTTGGCCTGTTGCTCATGCTCCGCCTGCAGGAACTCCGTGCCAGCGGTTGGCTGCTCGCGCCACCCGTCTACCTCGACCGGCATGCCGGGGGTGGCTTCTTTGATGGCGACCCCGGCCTCGTTGCGCAGGGTGCGCACCCGCGCCCAGGTTTCGCCGGCCACGATAATGTCCCCGACGCGCAGGGTGCCGCGGCGGATGAGCACGGTGGCCACGCGTCCGTAGCTCTTGGTCGTGCCTTCCACCACCCATCCTTCGACGTTGCCGGTGGGGTCAGCGCGATGGTCGAGCACCTCGGAAAGAGTGATGATCGCTTCTTCGAGCTCCAGCATGCCGGCACCGGTTTTGCCGCTCACGCCAATCGCCTGCACGTCACCGCCGAAGTCCTCGACGTGGACGCCGTGGACGGACAGATCTTGCTTGACCCGCTCGGGGTTGACGCCCTCCTTGTCCATCTTGCTCATGGCCACGATAATCGGCACGTTGGCCGCCGTGGCGTGCTTGATAGCTTCGATGGTCTGCGGCTTGACACTGTCGTCCGCGGCCACGACCAGCACGACGATATCGGTGATGTCAGCACCGCGGCGACGCATGTCCAGGAACGCCGCGTGACCCGGGGTGTCGAGGAAGGTAATCGTCTTGCCCGAGGGCATGGAGACGGAGAAGGCGCCAATGTGCTGGGTGATGCCTCCGTGTTCCGAGTCCACAATCGAGGACTTGCGAAGCCAGTCCAGGATCGTGGTCTTGCCGTGATCGACGTGGCCCATGATCGTCACCACCGGCGGCCGGGGTGGCAGGCTCGATTTATCTTCGGGCTCCGGCGCGGCGGTCAGCTCGTCCTCACCGGTGTCAAAGACGGGCTCGAAGTTGTACTCGGCGGCGATGAGCCCGGCGGTTTCGGCATCCAGAATGTGGCTATGCGTGACGTCCTCAAAGCCCATCTCTTCCATGCGCTGGATAAATTGCGCCTGTCGCACACCGATGACGTCCGCGAGATTGCTGACGCTGATGAACTCGGGCAGATATAGAGGACTGGGCTCAGCGACTTCCGACTCGATTTCTTCTTTCCGATCCTCCCTCTTCTTGCGCTTCTTGTCCTTCTTTTGTTGACGACGTCGCTGGTAGTCTTCCGTATCGAATTCATCCTCATCCGCGAACGTGAGGGGTTTCGCGCGACCCCCTCGTCGCTTGAACCCCCTGTCAGATGAGCCTCCCACCTCCTGCCCCGCATTGAGCTTCTCCAATGCGGAGGTATCCCATGACCAGTCGTTGACGGACTTTTGTGGTTTGTCTTGCGTCTGCTTTTCCAACTCCTCCTGCTGCTGTCTTTGCTCTTCTTCATATCTCGTGGCATATTCGTCCAGAGCCTGGTGTCTCCCATCCCAAGATAGTGTACTGCTGCTGTCCAACTTTCGAATGGTCAAGGGCTTGTTCGACTGTTCCGACTTTAGCTCAGGCCTGGGGGCCCGGCAGCAAGGGCAAGCCCTCTCCGTCCCGGGGCAAAGATAATGGCAGTCTGGGCAGGTCCAATCCACCGTCTGAAGGTGCTCGGGAATGTGATCGTAGCGACTGCGCCTTGGCCCATCGGGCCGAAAACGTCTAGTATCTTGCGACACCATGTCTCCGGAGGAGCGCCAATTACTGTCATACCGATCGTTCGTTCGCCGGGAGTCGAAGCGATCTCTGTGCGATTTGAAGCCACCGTGCTCGATGGAGCGCTCTTGGTGTGACCACGATCCTTGATGTTGCCACCTTGAATGCGACCTATCACCGTGCAAATGTGTATGTTGACTCTGTTGCTGTTCGAGCAGGGACTCTCGCATTGCCTTCTCTGCCGAACTCAGGCCAGTGGATGTCGTGGCCCTACTTCCCCAACGAGGAGCTGCAACTTTGCGACCCGTTCCAAAATTGTTCGAAGTTTGTGAGAAGGGGAGATCCACCTGCGCCTGTTGTTCGGCTACCAGAGCATCTCGTGCTGCTTTCTCTTCCGCATTCAGGCCCATTGATTGGGATTTTCTATCTTCTGCACGGATAGAAAACCGCGTCTTGGCGGGGGAACCTTCTGCCGAGCCATTCGAGAATTCTGAGAGGGGAGTGTCGGCGGGTTTATCTGAGGTCTTTGAGGTGGATCCTGAAAGATTCTTCTGCGCCTGTTGCTTGGCTGCCAGAGCGTCTCGCGCTGCCTTCTCTGCCGGGGTCAGACTCGTTGCTATATATTTCTTATCTCCTAGCCGAATAGTGAACGCGGCGGAACCCTTTTTGAGTTTATCGGATGATTTTGACGGGGGGTTTGAGAAATTGGTTTTTGGGGAATCCTGCTGTGTTTGCTGTTTGGCCACCAAGGCATCTCGCATCGCCTGCTCGGCCGCACTCAGACCCGTATGTCTGGACGCTTTGCTCCCCCAGCGGGAAGTGGATTTTGCGCCAGTGGGAGAGCTTGTTCCGGGGCTTTGCGAGGAAATTGAAGGGGTTGTACCAGCAGGTTTGTTTGGATTTTCCGGGGAATTGATGCTTTGACTGGCCTGCTGCGCCTGCTGTTTCGCCTGCTGTTTCGCCTGTTGTTTCGCCTGTTGTGCCGCCAGCGGAGCCTCTCGCGGTGCTTGCTCTTCCCGTCTCTTCGCTTCTCGTGCCGCTATCAGGGCTTCTCGGCGTGCTTCTTCCTGTTGCTTGGCCTTCTGTCCGGCTATGATAGCAGCTTGCCGGGCCTGGTCTTCTGCTTCCTTCGCCTTTTGCCTTGCTATCAAAGCATCCTTCCGCTCTTGTTTCGCTCTCTCTTCTGCCAGCAAGGCATCCTGACGTGCCTGCTCTTCCCGTAATTTCTCCTGCTGCTTCGCCACCATAGCATCTCGTATTGCCTGCTCGGCCGGGCTCAGGCCTAGCGATCGCGTGGCCTTGCTTCCCCAACGGGGGGCAAATTTCCGGGGCTTTTCGGAGCCATTTGGAGATTCTGAGGAATCAGCACATGCGGGAAAGGCTCGAAACCCCCTCCGGGGCACAGGATTCAACACTGGGGCGAAAGCCGCATTTCTGCGGGCAGTTGCGCAGGACCAATCGACACCTTGACGTCGAGAAAGCTAGGAGCGATTTTGTACGTTAGTATCTGAGGGGAGGCATCGATAGATATATCCTAGATAATATGCTCACCTCCAACGCAGCTCGCCTGTGCATGATGAAGGTCGTTGCTCGCAGCGATTCCCTTGGCGTCAAAACTGCTGCGGCGGAGGGAAAGTTGTCGGAGACGTCACGGACATGGAAGTACTCAACCTCCGCCCGTTAACTTACGATCCGATCCTACCGCGCATTGAGTTTGGGCGTAAGATGACCGTACTGTAAGTTAAGTTACAATGAAGAGTGCAGCTGACTCAGCGTTATGCTTGTCCCGCTTCACGTGCGTCGTCGGCGCCTTTGCCGAATCGGAGGCCGCGATCGGGGAAATGGGGCTATCACCTCATCGCTCTCCGATAAGCTTCTCTTTCTCCCCTGCCTCCTCGCTGCTTCTTCTCAGGATCTTTCCTCTCCATACCGATCGCTGAGGGTTTCTGTGCTGCTTGGACCGAGGAAAGGCCCTTTTTGGTACTCTCAAAACCCCAGTTTCTGTGAATCTCCTCTCTACTCCACCTAATTTCACTTCTCCGGGCGTGATCAAGTTCCCCGCAATGGAGTCCGAGGCTTTTGAGGATATGCAGAAAGGCGGCGGCAGTCTTCGCGCTGTCAAGGACTTGACGGCCGGTGCTGCTGGCGGCATCGCTCAGGTGCTCATTGGTAAGTGCTCAACTATTTTGTCCTGTTATCTCTGCTAGCAATGCATCATGTATCCCCCCAATCGGAGCATGGGCATCGACCTTCCAATCTATTTCCGCATGTCGCAACGACATAATACCATCGCTACCAACTGATCGCGTCGCACATTGACTGAGTACTAACGACCTCTCTAGGTCAACCTTTTGGTGGGTAAAATGAATGCTCTCAAGATTTGTCCATTCGCAAGCTTCTCACCAATGGCCCCCTCCACCATAGATATCGTCAAGGTGCGCCTGCAGACAACCACGCAGTACGCCAGTGCGCTTGATTGCGCCACCAAGATCCTGAAGAATGAGGGTCCCACGGCCTTTTACAAGGGTACCCTGACTCCTCTGATCGGTATCGGAGCCTGCGTATGTCTTTTGTCTTCCTCCCCCGGCCCCCTTCTGCCCCGGGACCCCGCCCTTCTACATCAACAACCCCGTGCTAACCCCTCCATGTGCAGGTGAGCGTCCAATTCGGCGCGTTTCACGAAGCCCGGCGACGGCTGGAGGCGCTCAACAAGAAGAAATACGCGGACCCGACGCTCTCCTACACGCAGTACTACCTGGCGGGCGGGTTCGCGGGGATCACGAACTCGTTCTTGTCCGGGCCGATCGAGCACATCCGCATCCGGCTGCAGACGCAGCCGCACGGGGCCAACAAGCTGTACCAGGGGCCCATCGACTGTATCCGCAAGCTGTGCAACCAGGGCGGCGTGCTGAAGGGCCTCTACCGGGGCCAAAACGTCACCTACCTCCGCGAGATCCAGGCCTACGGCACTTGGTTCCTGGCCTTCGAGTACCTGATGAACGCGGATGCCAAGCGTAACGGCATCCGTCGCGAGGAGATCTCCAGCCTCAAGGTCGCCACCTACGGCGGCCTCGCCGGCGAGGTCCTCTGGCTGAGCAGCTACCCCTTCGACGTGGTCAAGAGCAAGATGCAGTGCGATGGGTTCGGGGCTAGCCAGCAGTTCAAGAGCATGACCGACTGCTTCAAGAAGACTTATGCGGCTGAGGGGCTGGCCGGGTTCTGGAAGGGGATTGGGCCCACCTTGCTGAGGGCCATGCCCGTCTCCGCGGGGACGTTTGCGGTGTATGTTTTGATTTCCTGCCTTACCTTACCTTACCCCCTTTTCGTTTGTGTCTTGGACGGTAGATCCAATGCTAATTTTCTTGGTTGCACAGTGTCGAGCTCACTATGAGAGCCCTGGGATGAGGTATATTCATTGAAAAATAACCAATAAAAAAATGCGAAAGAAATTCAACAGCTCAATTTGAAATACCCTGCCCCTGCATTTTTGTTGTCATCTTCTCGTTGTCCGAACATCCACGATTTCCAAAAGCAAAGGCAAAGGGGATAAAAGTGGCATTTTTTTCTTATTAGACTGGATCTTCGATGTCGCTGTTTAGCGGGAATCATACCTTGGATAGATTTTTTCTATGCAGGCAATTTCAGATTCAACACAGCAGCTGGATCTTATTGCTCATGAATACCAAATTGATTTGGCCTGTAAACCAAGAACAGCAAGTATCAAACCAGAATACACCCCCCACCCCTGACTCTTCCAACGCAACAGCTAATACAACTCTCCGCGGACAAACGACTGGCGTAAATCAGCTCCCAAACCCCAACGAAAAGTCTCCAAAGAAATCCTGCCACGCTGTCGGGAAATAGAACAGATTCAGCCCGGGGAAATCCCAGTCGCGCACAAACTGTTCCGGCACGAACGACTGCAGATCGACCTGCGCGTCGAACAGGTCCCAGAAGGAAGAAGAGGTTTGTTCTGCTCCTGCTGCTGTCGTCGGCTCCTCTGCTGTTGCTGCCTCCACACCTGCAGTGGTAGTCGCACCGTCACCACTACCAGGACTGCTGCTGCTGCTGCTGCTGCTGCTGCTGCTGCCACTTACCCCCCTCTCCCCTCGCTCCTGTCCCTGGAATATGCGGCTGTATTTCTCGATGCTCAAGCGGAGGATATGCATGTAGACATTCCCCAACCCTATACCTGTTCCTGATGCCAGGCCCTGAACGGCGGGCGCTCTTGTTCCAGGATCGGTGATGTGTGAGGACGGTGACGTTGTCGCCGCTTCGGCACAATGACGACCTCTAGACGGTGCAATATCCAGATCGAGAGGGGCCGATGTCTCCCCGCCCTCAGCCGACCGGGTCAACTCCCACAGGAGCTTGTTTCCGAGCTGCAGCAGCTCCTCGTGTTCGTCCCGCTGTTCGGGGAGGAGGCGGGAGAGTTTCAGCAGCAGCAGGAAGCAGAAGGCGCATTTGGCCCAGACGAAATCCATGGCGTATTTGAGCTTGGCGAGGTAGAAGGCGGGCTCGAGGCTGATGAGGCGGAGATGTTGGCGGGCGGCGGATTTGGCGAGGCTGAGGATGTTAAGCTCTAGGGGGGTGATTGCTCTGTTTCGTTGTAGCGTAGAGGTTAGTGTTTGGGTATCCAAGCTAATGGGGTTATGGAGGATGAGGTGGTACGGCTCGTTGTAGCGAGCTGTGTTGTAAGGATTGGAGACTGGTGCTGGACTTACGCTACGTTCTCCACGCCCATGGAGCGCAGCGCTTTGCAGTGGAGGATGAGTTCGGCCCAGCAGTGTTGGACACTCAGGGCGGCCAGTAGGAATGGTCGTTCTTCTTGGGCTGTCGGGGAGTTGACTTTGGGGGTGACGTTCAGTATAAGTTACACGCTGTGGCCCTAGGGCTAGAAAGGTCAAGGAGGGCTGCTCACCGATGATGCGCTGCCAGTCACTGAGCACGTTAGTTTGGGACTTGTGGGCAGGACAGGGCAGGACAAGGAACTCACTCAAACCAGAGATCAAGGTCGACCTTGGCCTCGTGTACAAACTCAGCAATGGCTTCTCGAGACAGACTGTCTCGGATGTCTAGTGTGTCGTTGATGTTGGCTTTATCCATCGCCCATTAGTATGCTGCACCGCACCCTCTGGCAACAGCTCTAAACGCATACCTCGAATAACATTCAACTTATATCGACGATCAGCTATCCGTTTCCCAATGCGACTGTCAGAACCTTACCTCAACCTGAGAGAAAAGACGCATATCTAATACTGACGACGAAGGATGATGCAGCAGGATTCGGCATCGCCGAGCATTTCCCATCATCCGTATCCCAGGTGGCTTGCCGCCGTCGACGTGAAATCTGAGCACAATGACCATTAATTATACCCAGCATAAGTGACTTGAGAGGAGCTTTTACATGTGATCCAGAACCAGGAGCCCAAACCATGTCCTGGACTTCCGCATCAAACAGCGCACCTGTGCTTCCATGCTATCACCGGGAATTCTCAACATGTCACTAGTCCTCTTCAATGTTAGTAGCTGGATCAGCTCTTCGAACGCTTCGTCCAGACCAAGGTCCAACGCCATTCTGGTGGCAAAGGATAGTATCAGCGAGCGTTCGGCGGTGTAGCACGCGACGATCAGCAGCGCCTGCACCGACTCCAGGCAGTTCAGATTCTTGTTTTGGATCACAATGCCAATCCATTTCTTGAGTTCCGCGTGCAGCAGATCGGGAATTTGAGATCCGGGGCCTGCATACTACCACTCAGCATGCTATCATATCAGGGAAGTTGGGGTAAGGGATTGCAGATTACCCGTCGCTGCACTCATTTCAACACGGCTGCCAATCGTGCAAATCGCGTTTAGTAGTATGCTGCTGCGAGAGCGTACCGAGGTGAAGGTGTCGACCTCCGGATCGAAAATCGGGATGTACCTATCCTGAAAAGCTCATCAGCATGAGATACTCGCTAGGTCCGTCCAGCGTCGAGCAGTACATACGCAGCCCTGGAAGAACCTAGTTCCCTCCCTGTCAGCATATCTTATCGAGTCACATCTCTGGAAAAAAAGCGCATACGTTCTGAAACAGGCGAGAGCTTGATCAGCAGTCATCAAGCCCTGAGATACGAAGTCCGAGATGGGCTCTTCCTTAACCTCAAATCCAGAGCGCTTCCGTCTGACCGGACGAACTGTCTCCTCGTCCATCGCGGATGGAATCTGCGACGAGGAAGACAATCCTCTTTGTGGATGCAACTCGGATCCCCTCTCGGAATTGAGAGCAGAAGTCGCCGCGGCGAAAAGCATGGGCATGCCTCCTGAATCAGAAGCCGCATGATTCGAAGTTAGGAAAGGTGCTTCGGCGGGGTATGCACGATGCTGTCCCACGAATTGGTCCTGAGCATGCTGCACTTGCCCGAGACCTTCTTGTGGCAATTGCTGCGTGGAGAGACAAAAAAGCTCGCCCATGGCCTCTATCTGTGCACGGAGACGTTGCACTTCAGATTCGACGTTCTCCAGTCTCCTTGCGTAGGTGTTAGGAAATTGATATGGTGGTGCTGCGGGATGGAAGGGAAGAAGTGTGTGGGATGAATGATAGGGCATACTCAGTGGTGGGATCTTTAGGAACTTCGTAGAAAATGCATTGTTTGTATGATCGCTTGCACCTATTAGTAGGTATGCGTCAATCGAGTATGCTCGTCTCGCAGTTTGCGATGGGGAGAGCGCTGGATGGGATACCTCGAGCAGGGCCGTTTCCCATCACATCGCACCTGCCAAGCGCTGTTAATGATCAAGGATGGAAAAACTAAAGCAGGGTCTACCTTCGACTGTCGACAAGCACTGCATGCTTTCTAAATTGCCGAGGGGGTGGTCAGTCACTGTATGCAGTGTCTTCCGACAGTGACAAGCAGGAGAGGACGAGTAACTATACTGGGATCCGTTTCTTGCCGGTAGGAAGTTGTCTCACGCATGAGGGGTCATCTGATTCCATCTTCGCAAGCTGCCGGTCACTGTCGCCTCCTGCAGCAGTGTATAGTAGTGCCCGATGCTGAAATACTGCATGTACATGGCAGACCAAAGAGTGGGTCGTGGGGCAATGCCAAAGGCGGGGGCGACGCAAGCCATCAACAGTCGTCGGCTCGGCTAATGTGTATTGGCAGGCGGCTTGTTGCACATACTGGATCATCAACCTCGTCCTCTTGCTCGCGCACCCAACTTTTTCTATTCGAATGTATACTCTCATTCAAGCTCCATCTACTGACTGACGTAACCTAGATTCAAAATACAAACTTACTCTACAGTACGATAAAAACATTGCACGCCTTCATTGAACACTAGCCATACAACTTCCCACGCGTACTTTACTTCACCACACGTCGTTCGTCAGGCCTCCGAGTACAACTAGCGCTAATACACATACACAAAGTCCTCATTCGACCAGTCCGTTAGGTCTTTGAATGCGTTGTCCTCCGTTACGGCAGTCTGCACCGGTCCTTCTAATTTGTCGCCCTCGGCCGCCCCAACAGCTTGCATCGAGTGATCGACGATTTTGGCGCTCTTGCCCATTGATACTCGCTGTCTCTCATGCTTCTTGTTGAGGAAGAAAAGGAAGGCCATATTCAATCTAGGCTGGTGAGCAGAGGATTATAGCGGTTGAGACAGAAGACTTACATGCATAGCACAACCAAGACACAGAACATCGCCAGGCTGCAAACTGTCATCAGTATTGTTGGTCCGTAAAGATGAGTACGAGGGGTCAATTTACTTAGACCGCAAACCTCGTCGATACAAAGGCGCGTCTGTAGTGGTGTATAAGTTCGAGCCCAGAACCTGTTCTCAAAATCAGCATAAAAGTCACTGAGTGGACTCAGGTGCAAAACCTACGTTACCGGCGCATTGTCCCACCAGGACAATTCCATTCACGATCTTCTTCTTCGTCTCACCCGCTGTGTTTGCTGCTGACCAAGAATAGATCAGGGGTGCTATATCTCTTGTCAGATTGGATCGCGCGCGCAATAAGACGATAAACATACTGATCCCGGGGTAAACAGACACCTGAAAGCCGGTCAGTTTTTATTTTATCTGAGGGAAGTCGCTGCGAACTCACAATGTAGTATCCTGCGAGTAACGCTCCATTGTGTTGGCCATCATGGGGTATGACCAGCAACATGATGCAGCCCGCAATAGCAGGCAAGCATAGCAGCGCAATCACGGGGCCTTTCATCTTGAGAAAAGTCGCCAGCCAAGCTCCACCCATCGTTGCGACGAGTTGAACCGCACCGAATGGAATGTTGAACAGAATCGTTTGGAACTGATTGAACCCGAAGGCCTCAATGATCAATGGACCAAATGTCGAGATGCCGCCGCTAGGGATTCTTTGAAAGGTAAGATGAATCATCCGAGCCTCAGAGAATAGGGTTGTCTTACGAGATTGAAAAGGTGAATGCAAACCAGAAGTAAGACTTGAGGTCAAGGCAGGCCTCCTTGACATGTTCCCACTTCCACACGTGGGTTTCAAGCCCTTGCTGGTTCATGCGGAGTCGTTCGATAGTCAGTAGCTTGTCCTCTTCCCCCAGAAACTTCGATTGGACGGGTGAGTCGGGCATCGCGTAGAATATGACCACGGAGAACACGATTGTCAGGAGACCGAAGAACAAGAAGATGATCTGATAGGGTTCGAACACCGAAGAATGGATATGCCCAAGCCCATAAGTGATGAGGCTTCCGAACTAACCGCAGCCCGTGTGTTAGGTCGGGAAAGACGAGTTTTGGAAGTAAGTGCTAACCATGTAGACCACGCCATTCATAGCATACCATGAACCCAGTCGCACGGGCTGTTCGATACGCCGATACCACATTTGGGTGATAGCGATAAAAGCAGGAGCTACGTTGTGATTGGGTTAGTTCCAGTCTCGTTGACAAAAAATGAGAAAACCTGCGCGAAGGATCAGTACTCACGAACGCCGGCTTCGAACAGCCCCAAGAACATCCGGCAGACCAACAACCCAGCAAAGTTATTCGCCGGGGTCATGCACGTCAAGGACACGCCCCAGAGAAAGGTGGTGACGGCCAAGAACTTTCCCAACGGCACCTTGACGAGGATATAGGCCACAAACGGCTGAGCGACAAGCTGCACCAGGTAGACCACCGCCCCCAGCCAGGAATACATTTGTCCATGCAGGTGGGCTTTCTCGACGAGACCGAAGACGGACGCATATGAGAGGGTGGACTTGTCAAGCTGTTGTAGGAAGTAGATGCCCAAGAGTATAGGCAGCAATCGCATATCAATCTTCCGAAGCACACGAGCATTGTTCTCGGGCGTCAGGACAGTGGAGTGGCCTGCTTCTACCACCAACCCCAGGGCTTTGTCCACTTCTGGCTCCGTCGGACGGACCTCTGTCTGAAGGGGAGCGGCCTCAACAGACTCGATCTGTTCATCTTGTGCATGTTCTCCATGGTCGACCTCTCCGAGATGGGCCATCTTGCCTTCAGTAGTGAGTCTTGCTTGTGGATGGTCTGTGGTTACACCGCCCTAGATAAGATCAAGGCAACAAGTGTAGCCACAATCGGGGCCGGACAAATTCTTGTATCGCAGACCGTCGAGCCAGCGAAATGTTAGGGATGCAGATGAACCAAACCAACAAAAGTTACGCCTCAAGGGGAGGGGCGTGGTGCCCTTTTTACTCTCTGTTCCTCTCTCTCATGGTGTACGTGCAGCACGGGATGGACAGGGGCTCGCCAACCCCCGTGGGGAGGAATCCTCAACCCCGGCCCCGGACAAGCCATCCCCAGACCGACGCGGGGACGAATCAAAACGTGTCTGGAGACTGCTTGACCGCATCGCAAGTGCCGCGTTCACGTGAGGGCACTTCAACCCGGGCTAGCATGACGGTGGATGGTGGGGCATGAGGGCTTTCGGACAAGAACCGACGTAGGCATCTGGTAGACGAGCCTGCAGTGATCGTGCCATGGCCCAACAGTGGCGCAAAGTGGGCAGATGCTTGACGCTGGAAAGTTCTCTAGCTTCGGGGATCGGTATGAAAGGCCGACAATGGTAGACGAGGGGACATGCCTATGAGGAATAAATGAGGGGTGGATGTGGGGAAAAAGAATGTGGGGGTCGGAGATGACGGCCGAAATCCGTGCATACCTTATACTCTATACAACCCAACCTTTGCGTTTGGCAGTGTCATGACCAGACCGGAAGAAGATCACTCAATCACTCAAATAGAGCCCTCTGTGCATCATGTCGAGCCGAAAGAAATCAATCAATTGCTTCCTATACTTCGCAAGCGCGAAACACAAGCATCCAACTTCCCCCATATCACCCCACAACCCGCTCGGGAGCTGAATGCGCAATAATTATGCCTCAGAAGGAATGCTGCCCCAAGCGCTACGAGGCCATTTCTGCAGATGCGCAGGAGTCTCCGGGTATATCTCTCCGTTCTACGTCCGAGAACCGTCAATTCGAGTTCTCCTTCGAGCCCGTCCGTGAAAACCTATTCCGCGTCTCCTTCACGTCGCCAGATCACCCTCTACCTCCGTATCCCAGCATCACCAGGCCAGCCACCGACCTCAAGGACACCCACGTATCGACGACGAGCGATGCTCAGAGCAAGACGATCCAGGTCGGGGACGTCACGGCATCCGTCGAGTGGGCCAACTCGCCAGTGGTGTCACTGTCGTGGAAGGGGCAGCCGAACCAGAACCAGCCACTGTACCGGGATCTGCCATTGCGCTCGTACGTCGCAGACGGGGCAGGCATCGCACACTACACGGAGCACGACCGCGACGCCCTGCATGTGGGACTCGGAGAGAAGCGCGCCCCGCTAGATCTCAGCGGGCGCCATTTTATCCTGTCCGCCACCGACAGCTTCGGATACGACGTCTACAACACGGACCCGCTCTACAAGCACATCCCGCTGCTGATCAAGGCGACCCCGCAGGGCTGCGTAGCGATCTTCTCGACCACGCACGGCCGAGGCACCTGGTCCGTGGGCTCGGAGGTCGACGGCCTCTGGGGCCACTTCAAGGTCTACCGCCAAGATTACGGCGGGCTGGAGCAGTACCTCATCGTCGGGCGGACGTTGAAGGACGTGGTGCGATCGTACGCCGAGCTCGTCGGGTTCCCCCTCCTGGTGCCCCGCTGGGCCTACGGATATATCTCCGGCGGTTACAAGTACACCATGATGGACGAGCCCCCGGCCCACGAGGCTCTCATGGACTTCGCCGACAAGTTGCGAGAGCACGGGATCCCGTGCTCCGCCCACCAGATGAGCTCCGGCTATTCCATCGCGGAGACGGAGCCCAAGGTCCGCAACGTCTTCACCTGGAACAAGCACCGCTTCCCCAATCCCGAGGAGTGGATCGCCAAGTACCATGCGCGGGGCATCCGTCTTCTGACGAACATCAAGCCCTTCCTCTTGGCATCGCACCCGGACTTCCAGAAGCTGGTGGACGCGAATGGGTTCTTCAAGGATCCAGCCACCAGCGAGCCGGGTTGGATGAGACTCTGGAGCGCAGGAGGCGCGACGGGGGGCGACGGATGCCACATCGATTTCACTTGCGCCGCGGCGTTCAGGTGGTGGTACGAGGGCGTTCAGAGCCTCAAGCGTGCGGGGATCGATGGCATGTGGAACGATAACAATGAGTATACGCTCCCCAACGACGACTGGCAAGTGGCCGGCGACGAACCCACCGTGGTCGTCGCCGACGCCGACGCCAACGCCACTGCGAGAAAGACTCCGAACTCCGTCGGCCTCTGGGGCCGGGCAGTCCACACAGAGCTCATGGGCAAAGCCTCGCATGATGCTCTGCTGGATCTGGAACCCAACCAGCGACCCTTCGTTCTCACCCGGAGCGCCACGGCGGGAACCATGCGGTACGCCGCCAGCACCTGGAGCGGAGACAACGTCACCAGCTGGGAAAGCATGAAAGGCGCGAACGCACTGTCGCTGAGTGCAGGGATCTCTCTCCTGCAATGCAGCGGTCATGATATTGGTGGTTTCGAAGGTAAGATCTTGCCCCCTCCCCTGCCCCCCTCCCTCGCGCTCAGCAAAACCCAAACATCTAACCCCCACCCCCTTCAAAACCAACCAGGCCCGCAACCCTCCCCCGAACTCCTCCTCAGATGGATCCAACTAGGCATCCACTCGCCACGCTTCGCTATCAACTGCTTCAAGACCAGCCCAGGCAACAGTTCCATCGGCGAAGTCATCGAACCGTGGATGTACCCAGAGATCACGCCCCTGGTGCGCGACGCGATCAAGCGCCGCTACGAGATGCTGCCGTACATCTACTCGTTGGGAATAGAAAGCCACCGGACGGCCTCGCCGCCCCAGCGCTGGATCGGCTGGGGGTACGAGTCCGACCCAGAGGTGTGGACCAAGCCCCTGAAAGCCGGCGACGAGCAGTTCTGGTTCGGGGACACGATCCTGGTCGGCGGCGTCTACCAGCCCGGCGTGAGCGTCGCCCGGATCTACCTGCCCCGTAAGACAAACGAAGAATTCGACCACGGCTACGTCAACCTCAACGCACCCTACAACCACCTCGCCTCGGGCCAGTGGGTCTCGATCCCGTCCGAATGGCGCACGAGCATCCCCTTGCTCGCGCGCGTCGGCGGCGCAATCCCCGTGGGCAAGGCGGTGCAGACCCGCGTGCCGGGTGACGAAACCGCGGCGTCGCGGGCCGTCGAGGAGGTCGACGACTACCGCGGCGTGGAGATCTTTCCCCCACCAACGGCGGCGTCGTCCCACGGGCAGGTCTTCGTCAACTCTTGGTACGAGGATGATGGGATCTCGGTCCAGCCGCGCATCGCCCGGTATACGACCCGGTATCGCGCCACGCGGGAGACGGTCGTTGTGGGGTTTGCGCGCGACGAGGAGGCGGGCGGGTTTGTCCCGGCGTGGAGGGATTTGGATATTATCCTGCACTGCGGGGATGAGAGGTGTATTGTGGCGGAGGATGGAAGGAGTACGGTGGTGTTTAAGGGGAAGGATAGCCGGGGCCGCCTGGTTTATACCTTGAAGAATTAAGCGAGAACTGAAATGGAAAGGGAAAGGATGGGGCCACACCGAGTCCTTGACTTGAGATATCATCAGAGTCGGAAGGGGTTCATGTATATCTTCATAAATTAGATGAGATGCCAATGACAGATGCTAAAAGCTTATGGTGTGCACACTTGCAACTATGGAATAGATGACTGTCATCCATGTCAGTCTGGCAACTAACATTGAGATGTTCTGTCCATCGACTAACTCAAACAAGATGTTCTAAGAAAGACACAGCTAGAAATTCTCCAGAACTCGGTCCATCGATGATGGGGCAAATCTACAATGGTTAACTTATTTACTATCCAGCCTGGCCCAAATGGCAGCTCCCAATTGTCCGAACAATAATACACTATATACAGTTCGCCACAATTCAATCGGAAATAAAGACGATTCAAACATAAAAGTAAGTCCTCAGGCTCCAGCGCGCATCTGTTCGCTCGGCTTGCTCGGCTCCAATTCCACCCACGCATGCAACAGTATAATATCATCAACGAAGGTGGGGAATGATTATCTCTCAATGCTAGAAACTTGTGTCCTGTACTAGCGCCATACCACAGCCCATGGCGCTTGACCTGGTTTTCAATGGAGAGGTCATATACAACATGTCTGATCATGCAACTCTACTCTTGTCCGAAACCCAATGTCTCCTCCACAGCAATGGACATCTTGTGTTCCAGAGCTTCGTGTGTCTTGTACGGAGGTAGATCCAGACGGTTGAAGCTGGGGAAAGTTAGCCAGCCGCTTAAGATGAAAGAAGCCAGGGGACATACCAAGTGTGCGACTTGGGCAATGCGTTGGGATCGCCCGATTTCTCGATAGTGAACCGGCGAGGCCCGTCCGAGCCTTGCAGATCTTTGAATCCGTTGACCGGAATACGCGAGGTACCAGTGGTGAACTGCAGGAGACGAGACTTTTGTTCGGCATCCCAGGTGCGCACAATCTTCCAGAAATTCTGGATGACTTCGTCCTGCTCCTGGTAGCCGCGGTAATCGGTGTGTTTCTTCCAGTCGTCAACATCAATATCCGCAATACCACCAATCAACAATTCCAACTCGCGCTCGTCAAACACGTTGACCAGATCGGCCGGAATCAGCTCGTTGAACCCAGACATGAAGGCATTGAACTGCTCCTCCACCCGCTTCACAATCTTCCACTCCGTCACCAATCTATGACCGTCAGCGAAGTCCACCAGCTTACTAGCACGAGCAACTTACTCAACATATTCATGCTTGTTCTCGTTCGTCACCGGAATGTCGCGACCGCCCGGCTTCAGGTCAACAGTGGTACGCTCGCCGAACTTCTCGTCATCAACCGCGAACGTCAACTCCAAAACACCGTCGATGTCGTTCTCTCTGTTATGCGTTAGACGGAATACTCAAAACCCTCCATTCAAGGCACTTACAGAGTCCATGTCAAGTTGCGGTGCAGGTCCTCATCAACACCCTCCATGTCCTGGAGCGAAACCTTCTTTCGCAGCATCATCTTATAGAAGGCCCCAATGAAGAAGGAATCCAAAAATCGACGATGGAAGATGGCCAAGCCGACAACTCGTCCGATGAACTTGAAGTAGTTCAGGTGCTCCGGGTTCACTCCAGAGTGAGGATTAATTTGAAGGGTATAATTATCGTGCGCCGAATACTCGAAAAGACAATAGAACGGGTTAAACATTTCGTGAGAAAGAAGGAAGAAGAATTCACTGTAACTGTCAGACTCCGTCATGATTCTTGAGATAAGACATGGGCAGACTTACCGTGAGAGACCACCATAATCCAAACCATCTTCACCATCGAACTTGATCATCAAGCGCTTCTTGAGATCGGAAGCGCTCTGCCGCATGATCTCGGCGTATGAGTCCTCGAAGATGTTGTTACGTCGGACCTTGACATGGCACTGTCCAGACATGATACGCAATGCCGGTTGAGACCGGAAGTAGATCAGCTTGCGTCTAAAGTCACGCTTGTACTGCGGTACGCCCTGATCCAGAGAGGAAGGCAAACGGGGGTCATCCCACGTGGTCGTCTTGGTGTTGTGATCCACGAAGTACACTCGGGCTGTATTCGTCAATCGCATCTCCCATCCGCTGGGCAGCGGACCCAACTGCGACACCGGCTGCTGCTGAATCGTGGTATTGGTGCCGTTGGAATTCTGCCCGTACATGCGAATATACTGTTGACGCCGAGGATCTACCCAAGTCGTAGTGCGGGTGTTATGGTCCACGAAGTATGGCCGGCCCTCCGGTGTATTGCGCTGCTCCCATCCGGGTGGGAGCTCACCAGTGCCTGCAGTGGTAGCTCCCGTCGCCATCATAGAAACTGCACTGGCGCTGCCTCCTGCCGGAGGTGTTTGAGCCTGCGGCGGCGCCGGCTGCTGTTGGCTCTCAGCCAGATTCGGAGAATTGGCACCCGTGCGGTCTTCGGGCAGCATTCGACTCTGATGGGCGCGACGCTCCAGTTGCATGTTGGCTTCGCGCTGCGTACGCTGCGTGTGTTCGTTGTAGTTCGATGATGGTCGAGTCCAAGTCGTCGTCCGTGTGTTGTGGTCAACGTAATAGGTCCGCCCCAGATTGTCTTCTCGGCGCTCCCAGCCAGCTGGCAACCGGCCCTGACTGTCTTCAAACGAGCTCAGGTTGGTGCGAGAGCCTTGCTGACCATTGGCTGGTGCAGCCGGGGCGCCATTGGGCGGCGGAGCAATGATGCTGGTCGGTCGGGTGGTCGAGGGAACACGCTGAGGGTTCAAAGACGCAGTAGAAGCGGCGGCGGACGAATCGACCGGGCCGGGACCGACAGGAGGGTGCGGTGACGATACTTGCGGGACAAGTCCACTGGATGTCGATGGCTGAGCATGTGAACGATGCAAGCCATTAGCCTGGTTAGGAATGGGGGTGGTGAGGTTGGTGGACAGATTGATGATAAGCTTTCCATGAACGACCAGATTGTCGTTGGATTTCTTTAGGTCGCGGGTGAGCATTTCTGTTGCAGGCAAGGCAGACGCCTTGCGTTAGCCCCGGAGATTCAGCATGATAAGAACATAGCGACTCACCATCACCACCCATCTGTAAATCGATCACGTCGCCAATCCGTACATTGATAACACCAAGGAATCCCTGATCCTTCTTCTTGAACTTCTTCTGGTCGAAGATCTGAATTGCGAGAATGCTGTCCTCATTGACCCGGCTGCAGAGAATCCCGCCGTCAGTTTCCGAGACCAGCAGTTGCACCACGCGGGGCTCCTTACAGATCAAACATCTCATTCCAGTAAGGGTTCAGCGTCTTCTTGATTACCGACGTCGTGTGGGTTTGCTCGCCCCCCACGGTGGCCACCGCAAAAGGATCGGGGAATCCTGCGGGAGGTCAGCCCCAGAATGCATGGCTTGGTGAGATCTCCTTGCGGAACTTACGAAAGACATCACGCTTGTATAGACCGTCCGCGGCGATAACTGTAGAATCACGCTCTCCGTCAGTCTCCATCCATCCGTAGGCGCCATCCTCTAGAGTCGAGAAAGGGGCATGTGCTTCTTACTTGTGACCCGAAGATTTGGCTGACTGCAGAAAGTATCTCTATTAGCATCCATTCGAATCCGGATTATGCACGCATGACACTTTCGTCAAGGAAAATGATCGTGCCCGCTTTAAGCAAGGGAGGGAGGGGAGGGGGGAGGGGGGGGGGAGTAGGTGGAGGGGTTGGGACGGAGGGGGAAAGGAGGGGGAGGGGACGGGCGTTGGCGACGAGTACG